GTAGTTAGTAGTAGTATTTAGTAGTAGTTAGTAGTAGTTAGTAGTATTTAGTAGTAGTTAGTAGTAGTTAGTAGTAGTTAGTAGTAGTTAGTAGTAGTTAGTAGTAGTTAGTAGTAGTTAGTGGTAGTTAGTGGTAGTTAGTGGTAGTTAGTGGTAGTTAGTAGTAGTTAGTAGTAGTTAGTAGTAGTTAGTAGTAGTTAGTAGTAGTTAGTAGTAGTAAGTAGTAGTAAGTAGTAGTAAGTAGTAGTAAGTAGTAGTAAGTAGTAGTAAGTAGTAGTAAGTAGTAGTAAGTAGTAGTAAGTAGTAGTAAGTAGTAGTAAGTAGTAGTAAGTATTAGTAAGTAGTAGTAAGTAGTAGTAAGTATTAGTAAGTAGTAGTAAGTAGTAGTAAGTAGTAGTAAGTAGTAGTAAGTAGTAGTAAGTAGTAGTAAGTAGTAGTAAGTAGTAGTAAGTAGTAGTATCATGGATTGTTCAAGGGGCCCCCCTCCCAGGATCCCCCCCCCCCCTCCATCAAAATCGCCAAGAGCCACAGATTCAAGGAAATTGATGCTTGGAGTGAATGTTGCTCGTTGTTGCTGATAAGGCTCAAATTGAGCAAAACACTGAAGATGAATCAAAAAATAGAAAATAGAGCCAGAAAATCAAGTGCCGTTCCACTGTTAAGGATTTAGGGTTCGACAGAACAAATGTTTCTCCCGAATTTGTTTCACAGAAATTTGCACAGTGGCATTTTGCCAAACATTGCCATGGACTTGGATGTTACATCCACAGCTCTGGAACGTGCTGGTGTCACCAAATGCTGCTAATCTGGTTTCAACCTGTTTTAATTTAAACCACTTCATTATATCAAGAATCTAAAACTATTTCTGATTCGGGTTTTTAACTTTGAATCCCAACGATGACCCAACAATGTTCGCAAGTTTTATGATCCAGGTTATTTGGAATTGAATTTCTATGAGTACACCGTAGTCATTGGAGTCTTCATTCTGGCAGGGGCTTTCCAGTGCCACCTGTCAACTACAGATTTCATGCAATGCATTTTTCGAACCAAGAAGGCAAAGAAACGTTCTGGGTACGCAAAGGACGCTGGGTGAAGCAGCAGTTGTTTTAGATTATTTTAGATTGACCCCCGAAAGAAAGATATGACTGATATTCTGTATTTTTCCAACCATGCGCAAATAACTAACTAACGAGGATAGAGAACCCGAAGCACGAGATATGCATGAAAGATTGTGGCCTGACATGGACATCCCCAACACAATCGTGCAGAATAAGCGGGCAAGTATTTGGCTTCTTGATGAGACTTCAATGACTGGTGATGAGCTATGGGGAGACCAAACCTCTAGACCTCTTTCAGTGTGCATGTCATACCTTCTGTGTGCAATCCGATGCAAAGATAGACGACCTGCAGACCGCCACCATCCGATGACGGCGTTCAAAGCGCTAATTGTCCGGCTGTGCTCAACGGTGGGGAGGATGGAACTTAGTTTACTGGGATTGGGATGCGGATATACAAAAACCTTTCTAGTGGAAACAGATGGGAAGATTTCAGGAGGGGCAGAGAGTGTGATGTCCATCGACCTGGGAAATCATCTCGAACACTATTGGAACGCTAGACGAAATTCAGTGGCATTCCCGTACTTGACTAGCACATTCGACGACCTGACAATCTGGGAACTGGTTCTCTTCATGTTGGACAGACTAGTACTGGGTGATTTTCCAGACTTTGAGCCTGCGATGGTTCAGTTTGGCTTTCGACTTTTTTCCATTTTGTCACACCACCTGGAATCAAACCTACAGAAGATGTGTAATACCCATGGCCAGTCAGAGACCCTGCGACGAATGCGGGTGGAATTTCATAGAAGCAAGAAGTCTGAGAAAAGAGCTTCTTTTGCATCCCAACTCAAAGTTGGTATGGCCCTTTGGGATCGTGTTCGCTGGACTGACCAACCTGTGCCTCATTTGTTACACCTTACATCAAACGGTTTTGTTATGTTTTTTAAGTTGTTTATTCCAACTTACTGTTAGGTTCTCATTGGAAATTTCAACTGTTTTCCTGTTTGCCACATAGCTTGACATGAGGAACCTGAAGAGCCTGACCTGGAACACCCTAGCCACAAAGAATTCACTTTGACGCGTCTCTTGAAAAATCATGGGCTGAACGCTGACCACCTATACATGTTCGAAAGACGCTGCTGTGTACCTTGACAAACACTGGCCCCATCCCTTCCCGCATCATTTCCATTTTTCCCGGGATAGTTCAACTCACTCGCTTTCGCTTCTCACTTCTGTATCCTGCGTGTTGGCCAAGGCAGTCTACTGGATGCGGGCATTGGCAGAACTACAGGCCCAAGATGTCTTCTACGCCGGGGGCCCTGGATTGAATGTTTACGGGTTGTGTCTGAAATTGTTAAAATTTTATTATGGATAAATTGTGACTATTCAAAACCTGTAAGACTAATATAAAAACTATTCATTCATAAATATCACTGGGATGCACTGGTCTTCGTGTAATTCAATTAGCAACCCGGCCCTTCAGGTCTACTTCGACGGGTCTTCACTGGCAAAAACGCCGGCGGAGTTGTTCTGGATATTTTCCCCAGTGCTCAATGCTGGGGCTTATGGCCCACCGGTGGTTTGGAGCCTCAGGTTTGTTTGGGTTGGCAGGGTCAATTAATTAGCTGTGGCATTTTGAAGTTTTTTCTCATCTCAATTTTGATTCAAACAGATCTCAACTGCGGAGATTGAAAACTTGAACAGTCAATAAATCAAACGCTTCCGTTTTCCGAGAAGAGGTAGGCTCAAATCTGGCTGGTTAGACAGTCTGACCAGACCAGAATGGACGAAGATTTGAATTTAGACAGTTTCACCCTCAAGACCAAAACCGGTCCTTGTTCCTCGGCATCATCAGCAGATGATACGCCCATGCCTTGTTCCACTGCCAGCACATGCAGCTCCACACCAATAGAGCAGAAATCCAAACAAACTACATTTTCCTTTTTTAGACTTACCCGGTATTAGCACGATAATCAAGTGTCGATTGTTGTAGAACAAGGTCAATAGAAACCGATTAATTAACTCGATCTATTACTGAAATCGGCACATTAAGAATCATCTGACTGATCTGTTTGCAGGATTTGCCCCGGGATTCAACACGATTGGCAAAGGCTGCGCGGTCTATTCAGATTGCCTGGTATGTGCTTTCAGAGGCAAAATCCAAAGAGGAACTTCAGGACTGACTTCTATTATTTAGATTTATTTATAGTTGTTATTTTGTGTTGGAAACTTTGTGAGGATAGCCAAACCCCCAAAAAAAAGAAACAAAGTCCTTGATTCAAAACCTGTTACATCGGTCAGAGGAGTCAATGTTGGCTTCGCCTCTCAATATCTCGAGTTCCTGTTCGGGATGTTACACATCCGATATGACAATGGCTGTCATTGAAAAGAGCGTGAATGATACGAAAGTGTTGGACTGGCCAGTGATATTCAGGTCTGTCAGCTGCCATGACCCTCAACAAAAAATATTAAATTGACCTAGGCAAGTTGAAAGTCTTCACAGGCTGCCATTGGAAAGTTGTTCAACCGCATTTTGGGATTATAAAAAGTCTTTAACTCACCTACGAAGACTTTCAAACGCTTTTGACCTTAGACCTTCGTTGGTAAATGAAAGTGTTCGAACCAGTTTTGGATTTCAAACATGTCAGAAGGATAGAAGGGTTGATTGGGAGTATTTATGTGTTGTGTATCCCTGAGATATTTTCACATGATGTTGCCGCGGCTATGTTTCTAAGGAATGGAGCAAACGTTGTCATCAGCTAATCATTGACCACCACCAGTGGTGCTGCCGGGTTTTGAACACCCAGACCAAGCTTCCCTGCATTTTCGGAGACGTTGAAGGATGCATTCCTCCTGGGACGTACAATGCCACTGACCCATTCAAGCTGAAGTTTCACAAGATTGCCAATTCTGACTTTGTGTCCCACCAGTGGTGTTATGCACATCACCAAATGTGCCCACTTTTCAAGACCCAGCTGGACTTTGAGACTGCAGGCCTCCCATGCACAGACTCCAGCCGTGCCGGCAATCGGCAATTCGAGAACGGGCCAACTGCGGGTGTTTTTGTTTGTCATGGGAAACGACACATTGAGCTGGCCACACCATTGATTCTCTTGGAGAACGTGCAGGAATGAATGGGTTTAAAAACCGTTTCTTTTTGTCAATTTTGACAGGTTTATCAGATTGTATTCAACAACGACATATATATATATAATTACTGTTTTGAAACGGGTTTAAGTCAATTGATTCGTTTTTGGAGGAGCTGAAGCTGGAACTGATCAAGCTGATATATGGGTATCACTACAACATTTACCCCATCTATGTCTCCACTGATGATGTCGGCCACAGTGGGTGTACCCGCAACCGGGTTTATATCATCTTGGCACACAAGAAGCGGGTCCGCATGCTACAGAACCCCTACCGCATGTACAAAAAGATTCGGAAGACGATCAAAAAGCACATCTTCACGCGACCATCTGATTATCTCATTTCCCCCCAACATGAGATTCTGTTGGACGCGGCCGAGATAGCCCGGATGAGGAAGTACGAATTGGCAACTCCTTTGAAATGTATTTTATGTCTCGTTTTTTTTTACTTCTTATATCTATAATTATAATAACAACCACCAAAATAAAATATTAGTATCACACAGAAAGTGTAGCTAAAGTTAAGGTTCGGTCCTCCCATCATGACCCCAGACTGACCCGTCCTTCAGCGGCGCACACCTGAGGTACGAGGGCAAAGCGGCACCGTGAATCACCATGCACTCCTGCACCCGCGTGAGCAGAAAGCAGTTGAAGCATATCTCATCAAGTACAGAAAAAAATTCAACCGATCACCAGAGTCTGATCGTGACTTATTTTGCTACCTTGGGGACAACCCTGAAAACCGGGTGACTTGGTCAGCTATTTCAAAAAAGCTACCAACTTTCCGCGTTGGGCGTGGCCTTCACTGGAATCCCAAGGCCAAACGGTGGCTCACTGCTAGAGAGAAGTTAGCGTCCTTAGGATTTCCTTGTGACTTGGCATCCTCTGATGCAATGGGGGTGCCTGAGATTCCTATTAAATGTAACAAAAGGGCATCAGCCGTCGCAGGTAATGCGATGCATTTTGGATCCGTGGCAATAGCACAGTTGCTAGCCCTATGCTGCTTCGCTAAAGTAGAAGATTAGCTTGAGTTTTTCAAATTGGTCTGTTGGCATGGACTGCATTGAACCAGTTATTTTTCCAATTTGGCAATAATATAATATGAATCTACATTTATCATCAGTAGAAAAGTTGTGTTGAAATTGGGATGCGGTCAGGCAGCCAAGACCCATGCACGCTGCACAGTCAGTCAGCACAGGCACAGCGTTGATTCTTTCAACGAAGATTTCTACCACTGGTTTCCACTGAGGAAAAATTGAACCCTGAATAAGTTCACTTGCGATGATGATTCAGTTTTGTAGGGTTACAGCTAAGTTGGTTGAACTCCTGAACAGACATTGACATTCAATCAAATTTATTGGCCACTGGACTGGTGATTTATCAACAGAAACCATTGTCAATGTTATTTATTGAAGCAATCTCTGGTTCAGTTCATTGACTAGGTCCAACTAGGAAATTGGATTGATCTGAGACTGAGTTTGCCATGGGCGGCCGAACCCGACACCGTTCTCAGAAACCTCCAAGTTCATCAGAGTCTTCGGGTGATGATGGTGGTGACGAACCCCAGGGAAAGAAGCATTTCAAACCATCCCGTCGAATGAATTCGCCAGAGCAGAATGTACCTCCAATTGTGTGACCCGATTCAATTCAACTATTTCCATGTTTTCTGCAAAGGTTCTGTATTTGTTTGGGGTCTGACGTGTTTAATTAATCTAAATTAATTGTTGGTTTTTCCTGGCCCGCCACACCCAAATAATTCAATGATGAGGTGGGATGGTCAGTATGTTGTGGGTATGGATGATGGTGAGAAGCCTTCGAAGTCGACGAAGAGTTCTAAGGCTGCCAAAGCCAAGGCCGTCCCCAAATCGGAGTCACGAAGCCGTCGCACCAAGACTGAGCGTTTCACTGCGTCTTGTGTCAGTGAAGTATCCGTTACTTGGCTGGTTCGTCATCAAGAAAAACGCTTAGTTCAGCGATTCACTCATGGTTTCCTATTATTTTTCTATGTTTAAAGAAATGTTTTAAATCCATCACCCCATTATCTTTAAGACCAGTTAATTCAATAACCGAGTTTTGTTTATTTTATTGGGCATTAAACAAAATTTCCTTTGAAAGGGGTCCTCAAGGTGAAAGGGGGTCCTGGCCTAGAAGCCTCCAAGATTAATTTCGACCGAGTTTTTGCCTTTGTATGAAAAACTCGGTCGAAATTAATCTTGGGGGCTTCGCGCGCATAAGGAACATTCTTGGCCAGGGCCTCTTTCACCTTGGGGGCCCCTTTCAAAGGAAAATCTTGCTATTATTGGGCTGCTACAAATGTCGAATGCCACTGCCATTCCTTAGGTCAACCATCTTTCAGACTGGCTAACCGCAGCTGATAGCACGTACTTGGGCCCTGCTGTCGTCAAAGCGGAGGGAGTGAGCAAGGAGTTGATTTGCTCCGCACTGGCCTTCAACCTTGGTTTGAAACCTGGGAATACCCATTATGAGACACTTAGACACGCCTTAACTTACAAGACTTTGCCTTGTCTGCGTTTTTCCCTGCAATTCCAAGTTAATTTCTGTTTGACATGCGTGTGCGCTGGATTTGTTTCCAGGTACTCATGTTTTTTATTTACCAAGCGGGGCCTAACACCTCAAGGAGGGATCCGGATGAAGCGAAGCGCTCTGCAGCAGGCGAGTACCGTCGCAGAGGCAAGCCAGCAGAGTGGACCAAGTGGGACTTGGAAACTCAGCACAAATACATGGCATGGCAGAACGCGACCAAGAAGAGTTTCGGCTAGAAGTTAAATTTGTTTTCATAGCTGATTTTCCTACTTTCCCGCAGTACCCAAAAAATGGGAGAGGGCCTATTGAAAAAGCTTCTCTCACGGTCATTCCTGACGTTGCCCAGGGGTACGAGCGCGAAAGACGTTGGTGGCTACTCGAGGTATCTTCCAAAGGCCAATGGTGAGGAACCTGCTGATCTTCCCCAAGAAGTTGTCGATTGGATGAACCGCAGTTACCGCAAGACTTCTCGTGGTGATTCCTGTGGTGATGAATCTGGCGACTCTTCCAAAAAGCGCAAGAAGAACAAGTCGGAGGATCGCAAGGGCAAGTCCAAGAAGAGGGCTTCAAGTTCATCGCCCGCACGAGCAGCCAGCAGCAAGCATCGCAAGTCGGGCTCTATTGTTGCTGCCCACATCCCCAAGTCAAAGGTCAAGGAGGCTAAGAAGGACAGTTCGACATCCCAGGATTCGGAAGATGATGGCCCTGGCAATGACAATGAGTTTCCGGAGGGTGGCTACAAGCTTGAATCCATGGTCAGCAAGAAGGGTGATGCAGTCCCCTGCCTGTACCACCCCCACATCAAGACAATGATTGAATTGGACGCGGGAATCCAATGGAAAGTGAAGGAGGACAGCGAAGGCGTCAGCTATATTTGGGATGTGCTCAACAAGAGCAAGACTCGCACCACATGCTCAGATCTCGCTTCCAAAGTCTTGAATCCAGAGGTGGTGACTCGCCAAAAAGGACAGGATGATATGGGGTCATTGTCATATGTGATTGATGTTGCGTTTCACATTTTCAGCATGTTGTCATATGTCTTATGTTGTTCAGGTTTCATTGCGAAAGACAATGTTCAAGTTTCAATTCACAAGGGCCATTATGTGTTTCACTGTTCAATTTTTCAATTTGAAACGGGACCCTATCACATTGAAGGACCTGGGCCTACCAAGGTCAAGAAGAAGTCGCCGCAGGACTTCCAACGGTCAAAACACATCAACACACAAATCAACCAGTCAGTTCAAATTCAATTGCTTTAATTTTTTCTTTCTAATAATTTCTTGCCATCTGAGTTTTTGACAGCAGTCATGTATGACTGGGTTCAAATTCAAGTTCACAGCTATATTCATCACAATCACATTCCAATTTTTTTACTAATCTAATATGTATCCAATGTATCCCTTTTCTCCTTGCCCCAGGACCAGGAAGAACCCGAAGATGAGATTGATGACGAGCTGGACGGGTGGGGTGATTCCGAAGATGATGATGGCTTGGATTCCTCAAAGGCCGCTCCCTTCATTTACATTGCACAAGATTCTTCCCAAGTTCTCATCGTGCCCGCGGCTTTGAAGGAGGTGAAGTTGCCAGGCAGTGGTAAGAAGGGTGGGTGTGATGATTGGCAGGTTCGTGCTCTGAAGGAGAAGGCAGCAGATGGTTCTCTGAAGTACGTGATCGAGTCCAAAGGGGGGCATGCAGCGTCTCGCCACTTAGATTCAATTCTGAGCACCACCAAGTTCCCACAACCCCTTTCAGAGGAATCGAAGTCTGAGATGACAAGGCCAGGGACAAAAACAAATCAGTTTGTCTTATGATGTATGGTTTTGTTAGTGTCACAGATTTCCAAAGTCTGATTTTCAAATGATGATGGACATTTTGACACACTAACTTGCTTTTTCATATTGTAATGGTCCATGGTTCCCACTTTTCCCAACCTGGAAGGAATGGAATCAACATAGTTCTTCCTAGTGACGCCGTCGAGGCGGCGCGAGTCTTGACACCAGCCGTCCCTCCACCGGAAGCTCCTTGTGTGCCAAGCGATGACAATGATAAGGCACCCGATGCATCTTCGGCCAAACCTGCAGAGGAAATCAAGGACCCTTGATTGATCCAGCAAAAATGATCTCAGTTCCTAACTTGTGTTCACATGTTGGTTGATGTCGTATGGTATTTTATCTGCTGTTAAGTTTGCATATACAGACCACTATAACATAGTACCACGTGTGTGTGTATATATATATGTGTGTGTGTTTGATGACATATAACGGTTGGTGATGTAATCTTATTAGATGCTAATAAGCTTTAATAGGCTCTATTAAGCTCAATATAATATGGTGCACATAGCATGGGGCAACAATACTCCAATTTAGCACAGAATGATGGGGATTGTTTATTAAATGCGATAAGTTTAAATGATACTGAAGCCGCACATGACTGACTGTCTATCTAACGCTCGCGCTGTCTACTACGGGTGAACGCGCACATGCGCGCAGCCGCGATGTCTGGGGATGTTTGGGCACTTTCCGAACACCGCTACTTTGCAAGGAGATAGAGGGAACAACCCCCCTGGGCCCCCCCCCCTTGCCAAAACGTACACGCGCGCAATTTGGTGATGTCTGGGCACCTCCCAAAAACCGCTACTTTGCAAGGAATTTGGGGGGTCAACCCCCCTGGACCCCCCTCCCCGGCAACACGTGCGCGCGCGTAATTTGGTGATGTCTGGGCACCTTCCAAAAACCGCTACTTTGCAAGGAATTTGAGGGGTCAACCCTCTGGACTCCCCCCCCCACCCCGGCAATACTGCGCGCGCGCAATTTGGTGATGTCTGGGCACCTCCCAAAAACCGCTACTTTTGCAAGGAATTTGGGGGGTCAACCCCCTGGACCCCCCCTGCAACACGTGCGCACGCGCGCAATTTGGTGATGTCTGGGCACCTCTCAAAAACCGCTACTTTGCAAGGAATTTGAGGGGTCAACCCTCCTGGACCCCCCCCCGGCAATACGTGTGCGCGCGCAATTTGGTGATGTCTGGGCACTTCCCAAAAATTGCTACTTTGCAAGGAATTTGAGGGGTCAACCCTCCTGGACCCCCCCCCGGCAACACGTGCGCGCGCGCGCGCAATTTGGTGGTATCTGGGCACTTCCCAAAAACCGCTTCTTTGCAAGGAATTTGGGGGGTCAACCCCCCTGGACCCCCCCCCGGCAACACGTGCGCACGCGCGCAATTTGGTGATGTCTGGGCACCTCTCAAAAACCGCTTCTTTGCAAGGAATTTGGGGGGTCAACCCCCCTGGACCCCCCCCGGCAATACGCGCGCGCGTGCAATTCGGTGATGTCTGGGCACCTCCCAAAAAACAATCGCTATGCCAAAACGTGCACATGCATGCAGTCATGCTGTCTGACTGGGATGTTTGGGGAAATTCTTTTAAACGTTTTTATATTAAATTAGAATCTAATACCAATACAAACCAAAAGCTAAAACTTTTTTTGGTTCTTGCTGTCTATGGGGATGTTTGGGGAACTTCCCAAAAAGGTTGCTTGCCACAAAATTTGGTCATGTTATGTAATAGTATTATTTGGGATTACCCCTTCCAACATGATCAGGGATGAACCTCGCAGACATGATTTCAATGTTGAAATATATAGGGGCAAATGTTCTTGCCAAAGCAAACATCATGAGTGTGCCGAAACCAGGCGAACCATTGTTGGGTTTTTAATATGACGGGAACCGACAACAGTTAATTAAACATTATTATTGAGTTGATTCATGCATCTTCCCCCAAACAAAGTTCCTCATTATTGGAGAGACTGAGATCAATTGAGGGATCAATCGGAATTCGCTGTGGCCAGAGTGAGAGGGGCAGATTTTACGCCAGAGTCTTGGGTACCGTGCAAAGCCCATGGGCCTATCATTTATTGATATTTTTTTATCTCCAAATTAAACAAAAATGATACATTGATTTGAAAGAATCCTATATCGGTAAAATTTGCTGTTTCAATTCAAAGGGCTAGGCTATGGTGCCAAACATTCATTCTGGCGTCAAAGCCCGGAGAACCACACACGGCTTGGCCCAGACCGGATTCAGTGAGCCTTCTTTTTTTTGAGAGCTTGGCTCATTCCGATTGCCAGTCCTGCTGGCAATGACCGGGGTGCGCAGCAGTCATTTTGCAGCAAGGAGGGCGGCTTATATAGTTCATTCATATCGTGTTTAAAGTGCAAACAGTTTTATTAAATAACGTAATCTTATATTATATATATATTATTTATATCATATTTATTAATTAATCATATAATAATCTATCTATCTACAATATCTATCTACGCGTTTGTGAACGCATGGAATGCCGTTTCAAGTGATGTTTCAAGCGAAGTTCCCTGTCAATCCTTGCTGCCCGCCAGAGACAGCTATAGACTTTTGGTCTGACAGCACAAAAAAACATCACATTGCAGGACCGGCAAACCAAAGATTGGTTTCTAGTCAGGGCTGTGGTTTGGCATGTTGTCGTATTAATGGCCCACTATTGTTTTTTCATTCTCTCATGACTCAGCCTAACTGTTCAGTAATAGGATATTTCAATTTGTGAAGCAGAATTGTATTGAATCATTGGTCATTGATATCAAGTAAACAACAACTAAGCTCAGACCTCCCCGAATCTAAGGTCCTGCCACGAATCTTGCTGCAGACACTGGATGGATCCTCTGCGATGAGGCATGACTGGGTCGGTCGTCCGGGTTCAGGCTTTAAAGTAATCAAGACTTGAAATATAAGAGTTCCAGGCAGTGATAAAAATGAGTCAGTTGACAGACATGAAAACATCAGCAAAAGGGTTTGATCCATGATTTCACAACCAAGACCAAGTGCCACAATCAGTTGAGTTCTCCCTCATTCAGTTTTTCTGCTAGAGCCATTTGGTCCAAAAATATAGGTGCTTTCCACTGACTCTTCACCACTAGAATCTTGGAGTCTTAATCGCCAATGACAATGGCCATGAACACCAACTCAGTCAAAGAGGTTCGTTTTGACCCTGTGACGACGGTGTTCCGGATCGAAGAGGACCCAGAGATATGGACAACCTACAGGACATCTGTCGACCCCAACTATGAAAATGATACCGGCAAAGACATGTTCTATCCCCGCAGCTACCGCTCCTTCCTTCTCCATTTTCTTTCGCAGAAGAGGTTGACCATCGTCACACAGGAATGGTTCGACCTGAAAAAGGAGTTCTACTACAACATGGTCATTGATCCTAACCGATTTGTGGGACGTCCCAACCAGAAGAGACGATTTGAACAGGTGTGCCTAGGCTGACATACTAATGGTGGGGTCAGCAAATGATTCAACTTACGTACTAGTGTTTAATTGGGCTATGGGGGATTTATATATGTCATTTCGTAAATTATGACACACAGTTCCACGAGACTGGACAAAAGGAGTCTATTATATAATTAATGGATTATCACCCTTGGGGTTGAATGAAAAATAGTTAAACCAATACTCTATAGTCCATGGTCCGTGAGGATTCACTGTTTAACATATTTTAAAATAACAATCTAAAATCCCAGTTGCCATATATTGCCATTAGCATAATTTGACTAAGGTTTGCGCCCACTGCGTCCGACTACGACGGTGACCATGAGCGTCAGACATATTATCGGGTGTTTGATGCCAAGAAGTTTACTTACCGGCACCTTACCAAGAGGGAAGCGGATGCCCACTGCTTTGAAGTTCACCAACGTCTGAGCCGTGCAGGTATTCAATTCTGAAGTGATTTTGATTTTTTGGGGCTAGGATGGATTTGAATTGGCTAGGCCATTTTGGCCACCACAGCCGACAAAAAAACAAATAAGATGCAACAGGAATTTTGGCTAGCTTTGCGGTTGCTGCTAGCGAAGCACTTGAGTTTAAATGCATCACAATTCAAATGGATTGATGCACACTGCGCAGTAGCAAATTATTGACATGTAGCAATGAGGTCTGAATGTGACCCATTTTCCAACTCACCTTCCGGTGGACTTAGGCACTTGTGATTTCAAGCTTCAATGTGGGGAAAAAATGTTTGAACTAGAGTCTCCAAGCCTTGGCACCCAGCATGGTCAACCAGTCACTTGAACTTAGGCATTGTTTGTCATATTTTTTTTGGCATGTCGAGGGCAGGGCGTCCAAAAACAGAATTGACCCAGTCACTCAACCTGATTTCCCTCCTCCCGTGTCAACATGCCAGGCCTCAAATCAGTCCGAGGGAAAGCAATGCATTCCTTGTGCCTGGAAATGAATTGACAGGGCGTAGGGCCTGTGAATTCAAATTCTCAGTTCATTAGCTAGTGTATGAATGTTGTCATTGGCATGATGTCCACATGATTGACATGTCAGGTTGTTGGAAAACCACTGGTTTCAGAAGAACACGCCAAAAAGATTTGATTTCACTTTAGTAGCTTCAATCACGTTGACAATTGAGGTGATTCTCAAAGCCCTCAACCACATTTTGTGGACAATGACGCGGCGAACCATTCAGCATTGGATCCCTGAGAAGGAAACAATGGAGCTGTTGACTGGCACATTGAAGGTTGATTGCAACATATCCCTTCCTGATTTGTGCACTGTTCCAGTTCTCAAGTTTGTGGCCAGGCTGTATGAATAATGATGAATATAATACAAGTGAGACTGATAGTTGATATAAATATTATATTGGGTTATTTTTCACATATATATATAATATATATATATATGGTTTTGGGATATTTTAAATATAATATACGGGTCTGGCGTCTGCCCTGCCCTGCTTGCCCTTTGGCCTCAGCTCAGGTAATCGATGAGGAGAAATCGCAGACGAAAGGCCTCTTGTACCTGATTCAGATTGTGGGTGCAACTGCGTTCATCGAGCACGACAGTTGCCACACATACTGGAACATTTTTAAGAGATCAACTGCCCGTTCAAAGTTGTCCCTACCAGTCTTGAAAGCGACGATTGCATGCAACTCGACCATTAAAATGTGGTGTTTCATAGTAGACCGTTTTTAAACTCAACTGTTGTCAAATCACCCTTAGATTAGAATCAAATCGACCTCACCCATGCCATTCATTGGCTGATCCAAGGCAACTTCAATCATGGAAGTTGGCAAAGTGGGGATAAGAAACTCTCCAAAGCAGAGGCGCTTAGGGAGTACCTCCAAACCAAGGACATGGGCTACTTTGAATCGCTTTCTGAGTCCATTAGTTTTGACCGGCAGCTCAACAACATGATTGGGGGCACTGACCGAATTGCCGCGTACATGTCTGATTTCCTGGCCAGCAAAAGCATCAGAAACAGAACTGAATTTGATCTTCAACCGCGCTAATGTTACTGACAAATTTTGCAAGTCACCATTCAAATTGGGTTATCATGTCAATGTTTTTTTTACCTGGACTTTACAAATGGAAGGTCTCAGAACAACTCCTAAAAATTTCCAAAAATAGTATCGATGTTTAACACTGACAGTGTCGGATCGCCACCAGGTCAAAAACAAACGATGGTTTTCAATTCTGCGGGCGATGCGCCAGCTATCATTCGACTGGACAGTGCAGAGGGAGGGCATTCGGGCACTCCTCCTCTTCTGGCATGGGCAGGTTTCTCATCAGCAGCCATCCGCCCGCGCGTTCTGTCCCAAAATCATTTTAAATTGTCCTGCCTGACATTGGACCAAAAATAAGATACACCACCCAAACTATGACATTACTTTATAACATTAATTGATCAACAAGATGTTACAATATATGCTGCAATATATCATGTTTACTCAGATTATACCCTGAAGTTTTCCATATATTATTTGTATACACCAAGAAAAATAACCATATAAATATGACTGCTCGCTCTTGGCCGTCAGGAAAATGAACAAGCTGATCCTGAAATTGGCCACGGCGTCTCAGAGGAGGCTGAGCTGAATGCGGGCGAGGAGGACCCGGGCGAGGAGGAGGATCCGGGCAACGAGGGTGAACCAACTACCAAAAAGGAGCTCTATGCTTATTACGCTGGGAAAGGTCCTGCAGCAATGGTTTATGATTTCTTGTCGGATTCTTTTTTGAAGGCCCAGATCATCATCGTATACTCAGTTGCGGCACCACTGGAAAATCTGTATGCGCAAACATTGCAACAGATGAAATCCAGGGATGGCCAAATGCGTTTTGCTGCCCAGAGAGCTTGGACAATGCACACTAGCGTGGCTCTGCAATGCATGACTCAATTCTGCAACGACAGCCTTCTCATGCGATTGGGTTTTTCTCCGCCTTTGGTGGCTGACTTCGTTCCTCCCCGTGAACTCCCTGAGCATCCTGAAGGATCTCCCTCACATGTCGAGCGCATGTTGCTGAAGACAATCTTTGACTTTGGTATGGTGCTTGGGATGGAACTTTTGTGGTCACATGCTCATTTCCATTGGACTTTTCCGCATGTGCTTGCGACCTGCCTCCTGCCAAAGAGAGAGGATCGAACTGCTGCTCTGTCACACGTGAAAATGATCGCACAGGCGATCCATGCTGCAGAGACCATGGAGGGCCCCAAGGCTGAGTTGCAAGCGTGTCTGCAGGATGTGAGTTTCAATTCAGAACCCTTGGCCAGGCTTCTTATGATGAAAGTCATGAAGGGGGCCATCACAGAACAGGAGCTAGAGGCCTTTGCTGTAAAAATGTGGACTGGAACGGGAAGCACGAAAGAGTTGTTGGAATCTTGCTTCAACAACTGCAATCGGCAGATTGGCTTCATGACCACTTCGAAAGTTGCAAGTTCTCCATTGAAGTGGGTCTTGTCAACGCTCAATCCATTCTGCAATGCTGCCAATGTCAGGCAAATTTTGCCAGTGGAAGCTGATTGGTGGCAATCCCTGACGTCGCCTGCAGGACAGAAAGCAATCCAGCACGAGCTGAACTCCTTTTTCGATCCGAATGCAACAGACTTGCCACACATTTGTGTGTCGGAATGTGCTGCTGCAAAACAAGTGACTGAGGACGAAGATGATGCCGCTTTGACTGCCACGGCAATTCTGAAAAATCTCAGCTTTAAAGCTGCTGGGGCAGATGCTTTGCAGCGAGGTGCAGCCGCGATGGCATACTTGGTCGGTGAGTTTCGAAATGGATTCGAGAATGTCCAGCAGTGCTGGGCTGGCTTTTCGTCTGTGTTAGGCCGTATTTTTTGTCACCCAAAAAAGTCCTGAGGTTTATATAAATTTGTACAACGGTGTTTCTGGCTGAAGACTGACTCAGGTTGTTTGCTGAAGGAGCAGGAGGTCTATCTGCACATCCAATCGAATGCGTATGTCATGAGCCTTGGCGTTCGGACATGGGCAGCACTGGCACTCCCATTGGTCAGAGTGGAACATCAGGGCCGAGTTCCATGCCAGGAGTGGCGTCAAGCTTTGTAATTGAACCAATGAATGGGACATTTTTAATTTTGGGGTCTGGATTCCATTTTTTGTGGGTTCACAGTTTTCCTTTCTGGGTCTCACACATTTCCATTGTGAGGTTTACTTTCAGTTTCCCAAAAAGCGGAAGAAACCATTGTGGGTTTGCAACTTCACCGTCAGCGATGAGAATTGCATGTTCAAATTTATCCCCACGCGGCTGCTGCTTCGCCACGAATTGCCCAGTGCAATTGCGAGTGGCTCGGCCTTGCTACAGACTGGAGAGTGCAGCGACCTTTTGCGGCCAGCTTTTTGGCGGGGCTTGTCACTCTACCTGCCACAGGTTACAGCTATCCGCCGGGCACTGAAGCTCCCTGAGTTGAAAAAGGGACACGGGTCAGGTGCAAGAGGGACGGTAGTGAAACGAGACATCGTCAAGCAGATCCTCACCCACTTGTTTCCACATTGCAGTGAGCAAGACTTTTTGAGGATGCTGAATTTCACTGCCCCAGAGAACAAGCCGAAGGCAAGCGACGATGGCACAGAGAAGTTGTCTGACTCATTGCAATACCTTGTATCGTGCTTGGACATTGAGAACTGCGAGGAGTTCAAGAACATTGTCAAGCAGGCCAAAGAAGAGATGCTCGAGAAAGCCCATCAGAAGGGAAAAGAAGCTGCGGAAGCAGACTTGAAAAAAACACTCCACTCCCAATTGGAGGAAGCCAAGGAAAAGATTGCCAAGCTTGAAGGAGAGCTGAGAAGGGATGTTGCCCCACACACTACAGCGGCATCACCAGCTGCATCGTCATCTGGAGTGCCCCGGACTGGAGAGACACACAAGAAGGTGACTCCTGCAGATTTTCGGACATTGTTTCCTTTTGCGGGAAAACTCTCTGGGCTGTCTTTCAAGCACGACACTGCCAAGCAGTTTGTCCAGGTTGTGTTTCCAAGACGCCTGGAATTGCTTGCAACATATTTTTTGTGA